CGCAATAGCGACTGTACCAAACGTTCCTCTAATTTTTTATGAGCAGATGCGAGCCCGCGGTTGTTCATACGTGGGCACAACCGTGAATTCGTAGCCGTGGTAGTTGAAACCCTTAACGTCCTGCTGATCTAATAACGCTGATTTGTTTCTCTTAACTTGGCTCCTCAGGTTGAGTTCACCTGTGCACACTAGGATCCCACGTTTGACGAGGCGCAGTTCGGCGACGGAGAGGGGCATTTTGCACTTTAGCTGTTTCACTAGTTCGGTTTACAAGTCTCACTCTGGTGAAACCTGTGAACTCTTGTGAAGCTGGAGCAGGCTCGTCAAACCACTGTGGTAAAACCTGTCAAATCTTGTGAGCTCATGAGTAGCTCACTAGATAGCTCAACACATCCATAGGAAGTTGCAAAAAAGCAAGATACCCCCCCCCCCACCCCGTCCCCCAAATGCGCCGTTTGACGAATTCTGAATATGAAGTGGTTGAACCCAGTGTCTGCTGCGTATGTTCGGAGTTCCCACTCAACCCCATTAACTTGTGCCCGTGCGAAATGAGATATTGGGATACGCTCCATAAGCGAAGTGAAGTGCCTTTTGCTCCCTACCGCTTTCGGCCAACTTTCCTTTTCTCTTGAGCTGAGGTAAGCTCAGAGTTTTTGGCATGAAAGCCTCATGGAAATGAGTGTGGGCAGGATGAATAGTACTTTATGATTTCAGAGGCAGTAGTACTTTTACTGTTCTAGATGATGCTGGATAACAACTTGGTACGCCACTTGGACGCATGTGAAACTATGGGTAACGCGACGTCGATCTGTTCGGACAAGACCGGAACTCTGACGACGAACCGAATGACTGTCGTACAGTCATTCATCAACGATGTGCACTATAAAGAAGTCCCGAAGATAGAGAATCTGAACAAGGAGACGTTGGACTTGTTGCTCAACTGTATTTCCATCAACAGCAGTTATTCGTCACAGGTTGGTATCACGAGACTAAGTTTACTCTTTACTCTGAACTGGCGCATTCTCAAGTACCAAAAGTTTTGTGGTGCGCAGCGCTTAAGAAGGAGCTCCTAACATAGTGGGAATTCAGGTCGTACCAGGGAAGCAGTTGGGCGAACAAGCAACACAATTAGGTAACAAGACTGAGTGCGGTCTGCTAGGCTTCGTTCTAGCTCTAGGAGCCAGTTATCAAGACATTCGTGACAAGAATCCAGAGGAGAGTATTCCGAAGGTACATATTTCCTTTTTACTTTTAATATTTTACTCTATGGTTATAAATGGAATTAGTCTTTGTGCTTTCATTACTATGCAGTTACTGTTCTTCAGGTATATACGTTCAACTCAGTGCGTAAAAGTATGTCGACGGTGATCCATCGACCTGGTGGTGGCTATCGAGTGTTCAGCAAAGGAGCCTCGGAAATCATCACAAAGAAGTGGGTGATTCTGCATAGAACTCTGAGATTTTTGTTTTATTATTTTTATGATAACTGCTGTTTACCGCCGCAGCTCCCGTCCATAATATTATCGCAAGAATGTTGAGTTATGCCCCTCCCAGGCGGGGCCCAAACCCGCACCTCACGTTTTCCGGGCGATTGCGCTATACCTTGTAACCCAGGAGAAAAGGAGAATTCGCGAAAAGAAAAGAGCGCAGTTTGGCTTCCAGGGGGGCAATCAAATGATAACTCCAGCGAAGCGTACAAACATTTGTGAAGTCCAGTTCAGTCGTTACTCAAATAGCTCATGTGCATCATACCGCAGCTCCCCATGATTTTCAGGTGTTAACTCGTTAGTTAACATGTTCTAACAAGGGGAACTAGCGAAAAGTAACAGTGCTCTTCCTCTGCCGAACAGCGCCAAGGGAACTATACACATTAAATTTAAGGCCCGAGCAATCTGCCGTATAAAAGAGATTCCATAAAACGGTTGACGCCGCACACGGGAGAGAGAATGCGTAGCCCACACCCACCAAGTTGTTAGAGGCAGCTGCACGAAATAATTCGGTACTCGGCCTGAATTGCTAGCATGGTGCTACATAGAGGGGAAAATGGCGAAAAATGAAAGCAAAGAGGTCAAAAACCCTCAAAAGCAATTTTGGACGAGTTACCTGAAGTCGTCTTACCAATAACCGCTACGGTAAATAACGGCTTCACGAGCTACCCATACTCTTGCGTACCAAACGTATATTCCAGCGCACCCATAAATCTCACAATATCCCGCCCTACACGACGTTTCCAAAAAAGCCTCTAGATAGAAAATGTGGTAATTACCAGTGCCAGTTTGCATGCCAACATCGAGAACTAACTTTCCAGAGTAACTTTCAATTTTCTTCATTTTTTGAAAATTTCTCACTTTGACAATGTCCCAAAATATAGTTCCATTGCGCATATTTTCCCAGCTGTATCATTTTTCCCGCGGTAAAACTGGTCTCAATCATATACTTTTCACACTTTTCCGGGTTTAGGTGGGCAGGGCATCTTGTCAGATCTTTCGGAAAAAGATTATCGGTTTGGGTGGTTTTTTCTTTTGGTGTTTTTAGTAAAAAAAAAGGCTCATAGACTCGTCGACGTCAAATCGTAAGGGAGTTGGGCCGCAGTCATCACGTTATCAATAACTTTGTCAGGGAACCCGCACGATATGGAATCAAGAAGAGCTCTGGGCGTCCTCCTTTGCTCTCTGATCGAGAAAAGCGCCGTACTTTGAGAGAAGCATCGAACTGCACAACGTCGTGCCTGGAAAATAAAGTCCAACTTCGAAGCTTCAGCTCGTCGAGGAGACTGTTCGCGTGTTTTGTGATAAATAACTATTGAAGTTCACCTAAGGAGGGATGTTGTGAGTTTATAGCTCTGTTTCAAACGAAACCCCATCGCAAAACTTGGTTGGCTCGCTCGAAGATGTTGCATTGAACCGTATTGGATGTGAGGGTAGCTTTGGTTCTCGTGCCTCTGTGGCTTGCCTGTGTCGCATTTCTGACTTTTTTTTTCTCTTTTCTTTTTTGTCTGGTTTCGTGTGAATCGAGAAATATTCAAACTGCAACCGCTCGCCCTTGCGAAAGCCGATTCGGCGCTGGCAGCCTGAGGAAGACAAGTTTCATTTTTCCGGGTGGAACTTCAGTGGATGTGATCTCATGGTCTGGGGTGCCATCGCATCAATGGAACGTCTGAAACTGTGCTCCGTATGGAAAAAATGATTTCTTCCTTCGTCTATCAAAAAGTCATGCACACGACCGTCTCCTTCCTTTCTGGTGCAGAAATCAGCAAGAAAGTCCTGTTTTTCATGCAAGAAAATGCACCAATTCATGTCAGCCGAAACACTCGAGCGTGGTTCAGTCGTCATCAAATCGCTCTTTTGCCCTGGCCAGCGAATAGCCCACTGCTCAAACGCCCAATCGCAACTGTGTGGGGCTTCATGGTACGCATGATCTATGAGAACACTGCACAATTCCACAAGTTCCGTGAGCTCAAGAGGTCAACAATTGATGCATGGCAGCATGTCGACCGAAAACTGTTTTAAAACCTCTATTCGAGCATAGACAACCGCATTTTCCAATTTATTCAAAGGAATGGGGCTGCAATAGATTATAGCCTTAACAATTCATTCATTTTGTTGTACACTTGTTGTTTTATGAATCGATTTGTTTAGTGGAACTATATTTTGGGACATTGTCAAAGTGAGAAATTTTCAAAAAATAAAGAAAATTGAAGTCGCTCTGGAAAGGTGTTGGCATGCAAATTGGCACTGGTAACTACTACATTTTTTATCTAAAGGCTTTTTCGAAAACGTCGTGTAGGGCGGGATATTGTGAGATTTATGGGTGGAACTATACTTTTGTACGCAGTGTATATCCATGCAGCACCGCGGCCGCTTCATATCAATCCTTCGCTTCATATTTTACTTAGCAAATGAAGCAATACGAGCATCAGGTACGGTCGTCCATTTGTGGGCGGGCGGGCGGCAGTGGGCGTTTGGGTCGGTATGTTGTAGCTTGATAGGGGATATTTTTTATAAAGGACATAATGCCCCTTCGACTGTCCATAATTTCATCTAATTTTTCCGGGAAAACTGTTGACTTTGTTCCTGTGATGGGCCTTCCACATGATTGTAAGAGTATGGCGCAAATGCAATAATGTCGTTGTTTTTTCCTATGATTTCTCAATATTTTCAGGTGCAAGTGGTTCATGGGCAAGAATGGTCAACTAGTTAAATTCACAGCGAAAGATGCAGAAGCTCTGGTGCGTAATGTGATCGAACCCATGGCTTCAGATGGTTTGCGTACAATTTGCCTTGCCTACAAGGACTACGTACCTGCTGGAGGACATGTGGGAGAGAACCAGGTTGGTTGTAAGCTCCTGACACTGACGAAGGATTTCTGGATTTGTCTGGGATCCCCTATATTCGGTGTTTTTCTCAGATCGCTTACACCGGTCAAATCGATTGGGATAACGAAGATGGTGTTCTCAGCGACTTGACAGCCATTGCAATTGTAGGAATCCAAGATCCTGTTCGACCAGGTTCGCTTTAACTTCTTGAATATTGAGGCTGGCATTATTCAAAAGCTAGTCTGTCTAGAATATTTTGTGAATTTCACTTCTTGTTGTTCTTCTTAGTGAGGGTTGCTACTGACGAATACAAATATGTAGTACCATGCCTGAATTTCACTTACTCAAACAGAATCTTGGGTTCTTACAGAAGTACCAGCTGCCATCACGAAGTGTCAAGAAGCTGGTATCACTGTCCGAATGGTCACTGGTGACAATATCAACACAGCACGTTCTATCGCAACAGCTTGTGGCATCCTGAAACCTGGAGAGGACTTCATCGCTCTCGAAGGCAAGGAATTCAACGCGAGGTTGGTAGCGCGGTCGTATCGAATTGCACTTAGGCTTTTGGCATCTCTCTGATTAACGGCACCTAGTTGTAGATCTGAACGCTGTGGCGCTCTTTGTTGAAGGATATAATGTTCCGGGTTAGGAAAATATTAAAATACCAAAGGGTAGAGCTTCTGGCGTCGACCAGTCATTTTTAGGATTACAGATAAAATGATAAAGAGAGATAGATAGATTCAGATATGAAGTTGAAAACAAGGCGTCGAGAGTCTAGTACGGTCCGCGACAAACACCCTTGTACCGATTTCGCGGCTAAAATCGTAAGGGAGAGCGTTATAGCGCTATGTTCCATGTAGGTCCAGTGACACCTCCTTTTCTCCAGCGACTCCGCCTCCAGACTCCGCCTTCAAGGCCCGCCTTCCAGTGAAAACGAAGCTGCAGGACGAAATGCATGAAAGTCGTCACTTGTGCGGTCGTAGCGTTCTTAGGCAGCGTTCAGACTTCGCGACGGCAGCGCTTCGGTCGCGCGTTCAACGATGCAGTAGAAAGCATGCGCATCGATCGCGCCGAACGCGCGACCGAAGCGCTGCCGTCGCGAAGTCTGAACGCTGCCTTAGGGAGTCGGCTGAGCGGATGGGAGGCT